GGGGCTGGTCCTGCTTTGAGCAGGGGGTTGGACTAGATGTGACCTCCTGAGGTCCCTTCCAACCCTCATTTTCTATGATTTTATTATTCTAATTGTATGAGGTTTTGTCTATATACCTCTGGAAATACATGTTCCAAACTGGAAACAATAAATTATCCCAGATTTGTTGTATTACTAAAAACTTTCTCATTGAAATAACACTTGATTAGGATTAAGAGGTTTCATCTTGTACTCTGAGCATGAGCAGTGCTGAGTCCCGTGTGATATATATGTAACATGTAATATGTAATGGGGCAAGTTCACTGAGACGAATTCTCAGTGCAGACTACTGACCTACTAATGAATTGCAGTTTGCCTTATCGGTGGGGTTTACTCACAGAAACCTCCCCTTGCATGCACTATCTCAGTGTTGTAATAGCATTGGCCTTGCATCTGCATTACTCATGGCACTTAACGGTGGGTCTGCTTTATCAAGTCCCTGATCTTTCTCACCTGCTCTTTTCAGTGTGCATGTTTTACTCATGCATCTAGCAACAGTCACCTCATGCTTGTTAGACAAGCCCAGTGTTTGTTATTTCTCTCTCTTTGAAATGCTTTTAAGTAGGATGAACCACTGAAAAGCAGTTGCTAGTTTTTTCACATACCCCAAATATGAACATCTTTGCTTATTCCTTCCTACCGATGTGTGTTGTTTAGGTAGTGTCATGTCTCATTCCATTTTTCAGGCTCACTGATCAACACTTAACAAGCCTCAGGGTGTAGCAGGGTTGTTAACTTGGATGGGACGGGTGCATTAAAAGTTTGTTAAACTCAGTGACACAAGATGACTCTGAAATTACTAAGGATTCAGTCCCTTCCATTATTTTTTTCATGAGAACATCTGCACTTTGAAACAAGAAAAGCCTCAGCAAACACTAGTCCAGAGAGATTAATACTCCAGTGTGGGTGCCATCAAAAAGCTCACTGCAGAAAGGGAGAATGCAACAAAATTGGATAATTGAGAAATGACGTGCATTACCAGTGGACAATGAGGTGATGGGGAGAAGAGAAAGGGTCTTGGAGAATTAAAGTCATTAAAATCCTTGACGTAAGATGGAGCTCAGAGAGCACATTAGTATTAATTTAAAAAGCAATTGGAAAGGTGACAATACTGTAAAATGAGCTGCAAACAGTACTGTAGGGATCCAAAGCCATCTGTGGATGGTTATTTGTAGCTTTCATTGACTGCAGCGGGAGCAGAACATGTATATCTGAGAACAGGGTTTAGCCTCAAGAATGAGTAAGGCAAATACAACATAAGCTCATTGTTCCTAGCGACAGATATACTCAGTACATTGTCTTGAACGTCATCATCTCAATGCAGCTTTTTTTGCCCATCCTGGAGGCAAGATGGTTGAGTTGAAGACCAGTCCAACCAGGTTTCTGAGGAACTTCTGCCCGTGAACTCTGGGCCGCATCCTGTTCTTATGTGCACATTTCTGCACCTTCTTCCATGCTTACAAATGCAGAGGGATCTTGGTCAACAGAGAAAAGAGAAATTCTCTGTTGGGGTGAATACTTATTCTCTGTACTAGATGTCTAGTGGGAAGCACCTGTCAACCGCTTTCATTGCCAACTCCCCGTACAGTCAGGTGTGACCCAGCTGAGACCCGGGAAACTCTGTGCTACTTCCAAGCCACTTTGCAGTCACTCCCCCAACTTCTGAATGCATTTGGCTTGGCAGAAAAGGCTTCATGGGAATCAACAACCTCCATAAAATTTCTACTGAAGTGTCTACAGGGAGGGAAAAAGATGCACAGGGCCAAATATTGATTGATTTTACAGGAAAGGCATCACCATAGATATTTGATTGTGGTTAACGGTTAAAGGGAAGTGCCACAGGGAATAATATGTATAATAACAAAACAAAGGCCCAGGGTCAGTGAGGACTTAGTCAGGGAACTTCTGGAGGGACTAGACGTGTTCAAATCAGCAGGTCCAGACGCTCTCCACCCCAGGGTGCTCTGGCCAAGTGCCGGAGGACTGGAAAAGGGCCAATGTGTTCCCCGTTTTCAAAAAAGGGAGGAAGGAGGACCCAGGAAATTATAGGCCTGCTAGCCTTACCTTGGTCCTGGGGAAGCTCTCTGAGAAAATTATCCAGGTGTACATCCTCAAGGGGCAAGCAGTGAGGTGTATGCTTAGGGGCAACCAACATGGGTTCATTAGGGGCAGGTCCTGTCAGACCAACCTGGTGGCCTTCTATGACCAGGTCACAAAATCCTTGGATGCAGGTGTCACGGTGGACATAGTCTTTCTGGATTTTAGGAAAGCCTTGGACACTGTCTCTCAGCCCGTTCTCGTTAAAAAATTACGAGATTGTGGCGTCGATACCTACACAGTCAGATGGGTTGCAAGTTGGCTGGAGGGCCGCA